ATGTGGCTCAAGCGGTAGCGCGCTCGTCTGGCATGCGTGCGGCTCGGGTTCGATCCTCAGCACCACATACCAACAAAGWTGTTGTGTCCGCTGAGAACTAAAAAATAAATATTAAAAATTCTCTCTCTCTCTCCTCTCTCACTCTCTTTTTTTTTWAAAAAAAGAAATATTTGTAAATTTTCAGTTCAAGCAAAGATACGTTCTGCAGATAAATACAAAGGTAAAATAAAACAACAGAACACAATATTTAGCTGGACACAGTGGTGCACACCTGCATGCCTGAGGAAGGAGGATCACAAGTTCCAGGCCAGCCTCAGCAACTTAGCAAGGCCCCGTCTCAAAATAAAAAATAAAAATGTGCTGGGGATGTGGCTCAGTAGTTAAGTATGCCTGGGTTTAATACCTGGTAGAAAAAAAAATCAATATTTATGAAATGCAGTCTTCTTTTATGCCCTTACACATTTTTCTTTCCTCTCTTTGGATACCCTTTCCCTTCTTCTTGCCTTTTGATTTCTTTCTCACTTGTCAACTCAACCTACACCAACCCTGCCATTAGGAGGTATATAGTGTAATCAAAGTAGGGAAAGTCATTATTTGAAGGGAAAATATATGAGTAAATAACAATGAGATTTGACCTAATTTGAGGAGTCAGGGACTACATCCCAGAAGAAGGCATACTAGACTACAGATCTGAAGGATTAGCATGAATTACTTAGCTGGCATAAATGAGGTTGAAAAATATTCCAGAGGATGAGAACCGGATTCTTTCAAAACAAATAATGAAGGTAAGTAAACTCTCTTTGAGAACTAAGAGGAGCTGATGTAGTTGGGGAGGGGAGGAGAGTCTGCAGAGATAAGAAGAGCAAAACCCATGCAGAGTTTTATGGTGTTATAAAAGTTTGATCTTGAAGGACTCCAAAGAAGTTTGTAAAGTGGTGGGATGTAAATGAGTGTGCAAAACCACAAGATTTGCATTTTTACATAAGTGATATATTCACATTGTTCAAAATCAAAACTACATATAATATCATTCAGTAAACTCAAAAATAAAGTATGCTTAGGGATTTAAGGAAAAAAGGAAATAGAAGCGGATGATTTCAAGAGATAATGGGTTGTTAAATTCTGTAAATACTTTATAATGGTTAATGATTAGGAAAGCGGTGTCAGAAAGATCTCTAGTTTTTTTTTTTTTAATCAAGAATAATTTCCAAACATCAACTTCCCATTTTAAGATTTGAGGATAGGGTATTAAGAACATAGAATAACTGACAATAATAATGGCATTTTATATCACACCCATCAACACACATATTTACATTTACATACATACATTATGTATAGATATAAAATGCCTCAAGAATATCTGTGATTTCTGAAATCACCAAAGCAAACTTGAAAATTTTGTTTATTCATTCAATGAGTTAGTCATTCAAAAAGAGAAATTATTTATAGAACATTCAAAATTCTTCCTAAACAATGGAACAGATTAGAACACACAGAGTCATAACCACATAAATACAGTTAWCTCATACTAGACAAAGGCACCCAAAACATACATTACAGAAAAGATAGCTTCTTTGACAAATGGTGCTGGAAAAACTGGAAATCCATATGTACTATAATGAAACTGAATCCCTATCATACTGCACAGAACTCAACTCAAAATGGATCAAAGGCCTAGGTATTAGACTAGAAACTGCACCAAATAAAAGAAAATGTAGGCCCAACTTCCCACCATGTGGGCTTAGGAACCAAATTCCTCAACAAGACTTGTAAAGCACAAGAAGTAAAATAAAAAATCAATAAATAGAGTGAAATCAAACTAAAAAGCTTCTTCACAGCAAAGGAAACAATCAAGAGTGTGAACAGAGATCCTACAGAATGAGAGAAATATCTTTGCCATCTGCACCTCAGATAAAGCATTAATTTCCAGGATATACAAAGAACTAAAAAAGCTTAACACCAATGTTGAGGGCCACAGCCCGACTCAGCTGTGGCCCTTAATACACCAATAAATAAATAGATAATCAATAAAAGGGCAAAGGAACTAAACTGACACTTTTCAAAAGAAAAAATACAAATGGTCAACAATTTTTTTTTTAATGTTCGACATCCCTAGCAATTAGAGAAATGCAAATTAAAACTACAAGGAGATTTTACCTCACTCCACTCAGAATGACAGTTATCAAGAATACAAGTAACAATAAATATTGGCAAGAATGTGGTGAAAAAGGTACACTCATTCATTGCTGGTGGTACTGCAAATTGGTACAACTACTGTGGAAAGTGGTGTGGAGATTCCTCAAATAACTAGAAAGGAAAACACCAAGTTATGCCACTCTATAGTATATGGAGTTAAAATAGTATACCACAGTGATGTAGCCACATAAATATTTATAGCAGCATAATTCACAATAGCTAAGCTATGGAACCAATTTAGGAATCCTTCAACAGATTAGTGGATAAAGAAAACATGGTTTATAGACAATGGAATATTACTCAGCCATAAGAAAGAATTAATTTATAACATTTTCCAGTAAATGGATGGATCTGAAGACTACCATACTAAGTGAAATAAACTAATCCCCAAAACCAAAGGTAGAATGTTCTCTCTGATATGTGGAAGCTAACCCAGAAGAAGGAGGGGAGAATAGAAGTTCAGTGAATTAGACAAAAGGGATGAAGGAAAGAGAGGGGATAGGAATTGGAAAGACAGTGGAATGAATCTGACTTAACTTTGCTATGTGCACATATGAATATACAACAGGGTATCTCAACATTGTGTTTATCCACAAGACTGGGATCCTAATGAGAATAAGATATATTCTATGTTTGTATAATCATGTCAAAATAGACACTACTCTCATGTATAACTGAAAAGAAGAATTAAAAAAAATCTTCCTAGAATGGAATTGTACATCATTTGTACATTGTAAAACACCATAAAGCATTATTCATATACACCACACAGTATAGAACAGTCTCTGACTGTTGTAGTATATAGATCACTTACACTTGGCCCCTGAAGCCTTTGTTCCTACTAGGATAGTAGGGTAGGGAGCTAAATGCAGGGATTAAAAGAGAGTCTGCTTCATGAAGATTTCTATAGTGCAACCTCTGCAGCTCACCTCCCCATCTCCTCTGTCTCTCTGGCCTGATTCAATTATTAGTAGTATGAGGAGAGAAAGAAGAAGTGTGTTAAATGCTTCCACTAAGAAACATACTGTCAGAGATACTAGTCCCTCAAGATATTTCATAAGTACCAGGAGAATGCTTAATCCCATCAATAATCAAAATTTATCCTCTAAAAATGTAGAGGCCTCTTATAGCCTCTGCCAAGCAGATATGAAGATAAAGCTCAGTGTGGTTTGATCTTAAGCCACCATATATTCTCTAAAATAATGTAATCAATCAAGTATCCCATGCTGCTTTAAAAGACTAATAAACAAAATTTTACACTTAACCAGTAAGACATATTTATAATATGTTAGGCTATAATATAGTCAAGAGATTAAATTTAACTCCTGCTTCTGATTCTACAATTACCTATGACCTCATTGTGAACCAGTAAAACTGCTCAAAACAAAAAGTTAAGAGAATGTTAATCAGAACTTTGCTTGAAATCCAGTTCTGAACAAACTATGATTCATTTCCCTAACCAACATATAAATATTTCAAAAACATAATTTTGAATTAACAAAACTTTTAGGTGTCCATGTGTATGTAGGTACAAATTAAGTGTGGCTAGTTACAACTTACACAGAAAAACAACCATAGAATTAATTGTAGATAATATTGTAAAGAATACAAAATAAGAAATTTAAGTATATGCAATGTGTTGCTAAATTGAATGAATTAACCAAAGTCATTATGACTTCCAGATAATATCCCTAGTTTATTTCCTGGATGTCTACTCATCTACAGGCTGGCCTGAGCAAACTTACAAGTTTGATACACATAATGCGTACAGTGAACTTAGGAAATAAAAATGCACCTGAAGCGACCGGAAGGGACTGAGGGACTGCTCAGCATTTGGTTTTCTTCTTAGTTAATAAACATGAACTCCCATTACTTAGTTAGCATGCACACATCATGGTGAAAACAAGTTCAAGTTCATTAGGACAAATACTATTTAAAGGAAAAAATGTTTGTTTTTCCCTCTAAGATTCCCCCAATGTCTTCACTTTGACATAAAGTACTATCCTGTTCCAAAAAGCCGTTCATAAATATCCAAGTTTGAAAGGGCAACTTACCACACTGCAGGCAAAATGGAAGCATTTTCAAATGAACAGGGAAGCATGCATGATCAAGTTTCAATTTAAAAGAAAAATTAAGACAGGAAAAAATCTCCGAGTGCAAATTGCTTCGAAATGACCTTTTGTATGTATTGGCTTTATCTCCAAACAGTTATTTTCATGGGGCATTGCTTATTATGCATTTAAAATTGATCTGTAAATTTTAAAAAGCAAGCATGTAATAGCAACCATATGTAAACAACATACTAACCCAAGTCCTGTCCGTTTACAAATGTTTTGCTGTGAAACTCATATGGCTGAACTTATTTTTGAAGACACTTTAAAAGGCAGTTTAAAGCATACCAAAACAAGCCTCCTGTAAGATTTTGCATTTGACTTTCAATCAGCAAGTAAAGTATGGAAAGAAAACAGCAACATCAGATCATAATCATACCATGAAAGTTACTAATCTCTTGGCTTGTGTTGTTCAAAAGTAAAACTTCTGAAAGCAAAGCAAATATGAAATATTGCACAGCCAGTCAGACACTGAGTATTAATTATGTATATCCAATAAAATATTACATTAAATCTTTCATTGTTGCCAGGAATTTTAAAATTCAGAGAAGAGAGAAATCAAACTTGAAGAGTAAGAATCTCCATAAATTAGCAAAGTAAAAGGTCACTTGCTCATAATCATTGGAGGAAATACATATACATGATCCAACTGAAGCAGAAAGCCCCTGTAGATCCACAGGCAACTCTTACCTTGACAGGTACCATTTTTCTCTTCATATCCTTCCTTGCACATGCATTTCCCAATGGGCACCAGCCACTCCCCTTCAGCACTGCAGTGCATTTTGGGAGGTTCATCTGTCACAGAATGGTTGACGCAGGAGCCTGACACCTCAAGCAACTGTGAAGAATCTGCTCCAGTGATGGTGTCAGGGAAGACAGCCAAGTGCCGTATCACAGAGGGGCATTTTTTATAGTATACACGCACAGAAACCAGAGCAATGCAAGCACCAACATCTTGGAAAGCAAGATAAAATCCCTTTTTGCTTAGAGGTCCTACATCTCTGACCTCTGTATTCAGTTTCATGACACGGTCACCAAGATCAAGTTCCGTAAAGCTCTCATCAGCAGCAATGGTATCGATTTTGATGTACTGGTTTTCCTTGATGTTTCTTCCATTCTCATCATCTGACTCAAAATAATACATGTTAAAAGTTTCCTTACAGGTTCCCAGTCCTCCAGGAAGACTGTTACAGTCTCGCAGAGTGAACTTGAGTTCTATGAAGATTCTGGAAGCACCTTCATTGGAGATCCAACTGGTCAAAAGCCAGTTATTCTGATTCTGTTCCATAACTTTGCATACTTGGTATGTGTGGATAGGGGCATAATTTTCATCAACTTCACCAATCTCTTCCCACTGCACAATAAAAAAGAGATAAAGAAATTTTTGAAATAGAAAACAAACAGGGAAAATAGAAAAAAAATCATGAAAGAAAATTCATTCATGTATAGAAATCTCCATAAACTCCATATATAGTATTGAGAGAAAGAGCCCTACAAATTTGGGAGAAGAAATTAACAAGAAATTTTATTCTTTTTTTTTTGGTGCTGGGGATTGAACTTAGTGTCACCATGAAACTATGCACTCCACCACTGAGCAACACCCTTAGCCCCTCCTTTTTTAAATTAAAGAAATTAAGAAATTATAAGCTCTTTGGATTTACTCAAAGATGAACAAATATTAATGATATGTTCCAATATCTTTTGGGGAGGAGGCATGTACTTCAGAGTAAAAGTAAAATAAAATGAATGTAGTCAAGGTAAATAAGAAGCAAAGCAGAGAAAGTATATATTTTTGGAAGAACGGTAGTACATAAACAAATAGGATAGATGCTATGATTTGGATAATATTTCCAAAAGATTCACATGCTAAAGGCTTTGTCCTCATCCCATGAAGCTATTGAAAGGTGGTAGAATCTTTAAAAGGTTTGCCATAGTAGGAAGTCTGTAAGTCATTGGGGACATGTCCGCAAAGGGATATTAGGTCCTTGTTCCCCTCCTGTTCCTCCAGTTTGTTATCTGTCCATGAGGAAAGTGGTATTGCTCTGTTACAAACTCCTGCTATAATTAGCTGCCTCATCATAGGTCAAAAAACAATGGGTCAACTGATCATAGACTGGAACCTTGAAAACTGTGAGCCAAAATATACCCTTTATATTTATAATTTAATTAAACAAAGGTTTGTTATAGTAACAGAAAGGTAACACAAAAGATAAAGTTTGAGAGGGAAAAAATGTCTAATTTTAAAAAGTAAAACGAGAAAAGAACAGCAAATGTGAAAAAGAACGTGAAAAATGTAACATGAAAAGTCACTTATTTAATTCTGTCACATGACAAATAGTACATTGATGTAATATAATTTGAAAAAAAATACATTCGTTTAAAATTAATAGTAGATCTTTATTTCATTGAACCTAGCAACTCAGAACTTTTTCACTAACTGGATAGCTAAATATGTATTCATGAATTTATCCACAAATATAGACACAGATACAAAATAGAAATTACAGGATTATAATATGCACAGTCTTGTCATTTTGAACATTAACTGACTTGCTATATCCTGTGAATGGATTAATTCATTCTGATCAATGCATTACTTTATGAATAGTTACTTTAAGATTCTGAAAATGTACAGGATGTAAAAGTAATTGAGTATGTTTTATATAGCTTTCAAAATATGATCAGTTCAAAGAATAGTTATACACCTATTATTTCCTGATAAAGTACCCCAGTTTTGAGAATCTCAATGTACAATGAGCACTTCCAGAACAGTATTAGCACCAAAGTTTTATTCCTGATAGATATCATGATAGCCTAAAACTTTTCTTTAAGCCTTATAGAATGTATATTCACAAAACTATATATGATTTTATTTTAAATCATTAAAAAGTCACTGAAACAGAGAGAAAAGAACCCACACTAACTTCCAATAAGTTAAGAATGTGTGATTTTGAACACTGACTATTTTAGATAAATTTTATGAGACATTTTTTAGACTTCATATTAAGTGTAGCATTATTTCTTCATTCTGTCCAACTTGGCAAAGATGGGCAAAATGTGAAAGCACAAAGGGTGCAAATAAATCTCATACCTCAGATGGCCCTTCTCAAAATTCTAGCTGTCATCAGGCAGACATAAGTAAAAGGTGCTAATGAGATAAAACTGCTGAGTTCCTTAAATTCACAAGAGAGAGACAACAAGATTTTATCTTGCCTAACAAGTTTCACATTCTGCTGTTATGAGAAGCATTGGTTCTTTCATTTAATCTTATTTTTGACTTCTCTCATAATGTATATAAACTCTACTTAGCCTCTGGTTTTCTAAACCAACCTTCTGTCTTACCACTATATCATTAAACCATTCACAAATGATTGAAGTATATATCTCTACAGTAGAAATCATTCCTGTATGTAACAATTAATATTTCTTGCAAATGAGAACCTCAACTAACCAAATGAAAACTGAAAATTATCCATCTACCATGACAAATTAAATACATGGTCTTTAGTTTAACAAAAGGAAAATAGCATTAAAGCTCTTCTCTTTAAGAAAAAAAAACCCAAAATGTTACACTATTACTTTTTAAATATTTATTTTATGTTATGATAGTCATCCAAAACAAAATACAAATGGATTTTAAATTGTTCACCTTAAATCACTTACAGAAGACCTATTTCAGCATCATATATTCCAGTAGATCATTGTAGCAAATAAAAGCAAGCAAAAAAGCAGCAGATTCCAAGACTACAAGCCAAGCAATTCAGTCTTTATGTGTACGAAGCCCACGGTAGCACAAATATTATTAAATATGCAAGCCAAGCAGCACTTGACAAGACAGCTTAATAGTTACTGCTTCAGGTGATAATTTCAAAGTATGTGCATAAGCATTTTGTTCCTCTGAATATTCTCAATTAAGGAGAGAAAAACTGTAATTTTCTTCAAATTTAAAAAYCTGTTGTGGTGAGATTTTATTTATTTTTTCTTCTCAAGCATTCAAAATACAAATGAAGGCTCACATTTTATATTTCTCATTAACAAACAGGAAGACTTTAATTTAAATAATTGTGGCAATAAGCTATTCAAAGAATCAAACAGATAATATATACATTTTCTAAATATGCCCTCCTTTAAACAAATACATTAAGAAATGGACAAAATTATTTCCGTTATTATAGATTATCTAAATAAAAATGTGGAATTCCTCTGTAGTTTCTTTCTTTTTTATATTAAGAGGTCATCTTACTCTCCTCAGCTAAAATCAGCCATGAGAAAGAAAGGTTTGGGGGGGTGGGGCAGTGGAAAGAAAATAACACTCACTAAGAAATATGAATATAGTAGGCCAATTTCTATAWACTTTAAAATGTCGTGACAAGGAGGTTACAGAATTTAATGAAGGACACAGATAGAAAACAATGTTTTTCTGTTCAATTTTGTTGCCTTTCCAAATATTCCATGGTGTAATAAAATATTTGCTAATCCCTTGGTTACTGATTAACGTGGGTACTAGGGAAGCACATATCACCGAATGCAATAAGGAGCAATAGCTCTGCTCTCTAGCTCTGGCAGCTCTCATCCTTTGAGCCCATGCTTCTTATATTTTTTTTTCCTCATTTCCTATATTCTGCACTTTTTTCTCCTTATTTCCTATACTCTACCTTAAAATTTAGAAAACTGATTACAACTTTGGTTGACTTGGCTTTTCTTCAACTCAGTTGCATTCCAAACACATGCCTGGTCAGGCTACCCATGTAAGCCTCATTCATCAGAAAAGTGGGGAAGGGACTTATTGTCATATGTGTATCATGGAATTACCATCTTCCTACCCAAACCATTAAGAAGTAATTGCTCCCTGTCTGCCTTTCACTGACCTTTTAGATTTCTTGCCTAAAAAGAAACCTCAATTTCTCGATTCACTTCATTAATTGTTACCACACACTGTTAAAACTAAATATCCACTTTTTCAGTCATCATGTAACCATAAAAATCTTTCTGCCTTTCTTTATATATCTTAACACCCAGAAACCTATATGCAACTGGACATGCATGATGGTCTTATTATAAACTGCAGCTCAGGGTCTGACACTACAGAACACAGAGGAGGGTGCTCAAGAGATATTTTGTATTGAATGAACTCATGCCAAAAATGCATGCATTCCCCTTAGTCCAGAAATCTAGTTCATTTTAAATTTCAAATAATTCAAACATGGCAAATAAACGATTATATGGATGGCATTCTATTAAAAAGAACAGACTTTCTTCTCTGTAACTTTTCTAAACTTTATCAATTCAAATTAGAAAGTTTATGAATTCAGATTTTTTGAAAGTTCTTTTTCAGTAGTTTTTTATTACAAATCTTTAAGCATTTATTTAAATATATTTTCTGAAACCAATTATTCATATAATTATTATGAGTTTAGTCTGGCATATTAGCCTGTAAAACTATCTTCATTATCATTACATCTTACCAATTATAATTTATAGCTTAAATTAGATATTGTATTCTTGAAAATGTTTTCAGAGTACACATTTTTATTTTGTCACTGATTAGCCTTCTACACTATTCTGTACAAATTAAAATCTCAGAAGATAGTACATCATAGAGTAGCACTGTACCTAAACTCTTGTTTGAGTGAAATTGTCAAATGATATTAAGACAATCTTAGTGGGTTTTGTGGGGGGTTTTTTGGCAGAGTGATGTAAAAACTTGGCAAAGAATCATTGTCTTCAGCATTTCTCTGACATGAGAAAAACACAACTTTCTAGGAAGACCTTGTTTATTGCTTAAGGACTTCTTTTTTCATTATCCTTTAATATCACAATATTTTATATAATGCCTTTTAAAATGCTCTAAAACAAAATAAGTGATATGCCTCAAATTTTATTCAAAATGTTTTAGATATAACTTATTATATTCAGTGTATGTATCCATGTTGTATTACAGTATGTTTCACTAACTTCATAGAAGATATCCCCATCTTAAGCTAYTAGTACATTGATGTTTGAAAAAAGCAATACTGCTTTCATGATCTTAGAAAGTTCCCAAGAACAGTTTGATATGCATTAAAATTTTGAAGTCTGGCATTTTACCCATTTTAACCAAGAACAAAGCACTCTAATTCCTATCTCAAAATATATTTACCTAAATGTAGACTTTATGGAAGTTTTCTGCTACTGCAGAAATAAGATGAAATTTTATATATAAAATTAAAAACTTCAAAGAGTGAGAGTATTTTCTTTTTATAATTGTGTAGTTAACTGTACTACACAATTTCAATACAGATTTCAGCTTTATTTTTTCCTATTTTTTATTTTGCTAAATTCCTTAAAATTGAGAAAAATGTGTTTATTTGGACC